ACGAAGTCGCGGGTACACGCTAGTAAATATTATATTAATATAGAGAAAAAAAATAACAAACTTCCCCCCTCCCCCTTCAACCTAACCACCGTTCAACCTACGTTCTAAAATTTCGTACAAATCCTAGAATTTTCATAGATGTCGCTGTCGCAATATAAAAAATAGTTAAAAATCGAAAAATAGACATGAAAAAAGTCACAGATTTTGATAAAATCCTAATACTTACTAATTAGAAGGGGTAGAATACGACAATATAGGTCATTGTGACCTTACATGTATGGTACTAGATATAGACCAAGTTTTAAGCACTATTATTTCATCAAAGAAAGAAAATTGTTCTCTTATTTTAAAATACAAATTTTAAAAAAGCCAGATTGATTAAAAAAGTTGATAACAAAACAAATTCTTCAATAAAACTGCAATAATGCATTACAATAACAATGCCTTTAAAATTTCCTAGATATCCTTGATAAAGTAAAGTATTACATATAGTGCTTTAGAAGTGCCCCTGGCAGAACTACATGGACGTTAACAAATGTTACGCAGAACGAGATAAGACAAATGTTAACAATCATCACAACAATTACTATGCTATATATAGTCAACCTATTATATTAACAACTATCTGTTAGATAAATGGTTCGCTTCGAGTCATATTTTATATCGATTGTCGTAGAGAAATTATTGAAGCACATTGAGTGTACACTCTATTAAACCATATATAATTCATCTCGTTAGGTTAACGTAAACTGAGGACATATCTCTAAAATTGGGTTGGTTTAATTTATTATACACTGAAATTGTGTTAAATGCTTTGTTTTAGCTCTTTTTTAGTAGATTTTAAGTGTTAGTTTTGGTGAGGTGTTTGTTGTCATGCAACCAACAACTAGCAAGGCAAGTATCATAGATTTCATATCATATTAAAGGGTTTCTTGGTCGACTTTTGAACTACTTTATTGACTGCTATTGGTTAGACGTCTAAAAATTGATATATTTATGTAAAATTAAAAAATACACAACTTTTTCAACCCATTTTTTGTCGAATTCATCATCGTCATCATCATTTTCAGCTTATTCAACCATTTCCAATTATGGTGTAGCCTTCCTCACATATTTAGATACTCTCTTTTAAGTTGGCCCATTGCTGTTTATTGTTGGCAATGTGGGCCCAATTTATCCCAGCTAATTTCCTAATATCATGGTCCCATCTCAGGTTCGGTCTTCTTCTAAGTCTCTTAATTCCTTGCGGGTACCATGCTGTAATTTTTGTGGTCCATCTGTTGTCCGTCTTTCTTGCCAGATGTCCTACCCATTGCCATTTGAGGGATTTGACTCTGTGCATGACATCTATTACTTACCTGGGTCTTTTGTCGTATCAACTCTATTCTTTTACGGTCTCCCTTGGTTATTCCCAGCATATTTCGTTCCATTGAGCGTTGTACGACCTGCAGTTTCCTTATGATGTCCGTTTTAAATGTCCAGGTTTCACATGAATAGGTTATGACTGGTAGTACACATAGGTCGAATGTTTTCTTCTTTAGATAGAGTGGCATTCATGATTTGAATTATTACTTTAAATGTTTAATTTGACATCACGGTAAATTTTCTTTTAGTTTTAATCTAAATCAGAGCAGAAACTATCGCTGAAGTCAAATTTCACCAATGACTTATCTAATCAGATTAATGTTTACCAGTGAGGTTGCGAAAAGAAATCATAGTAACAACGAAATCTCCCATATCGTAATGAATTTTACATATTCTTAATATTAAATAAATACCTACACAAAAGAACCAATTATTACTAACCTATTACCAACTTTAACCAATACTTTAGTGGTTCAAAAGCTTAGTAGGTACTTAAATATTTAGTTATACTTAAAAAATGAATGTATGTAGAGCTTCCTTTATGCACGGATGTTCCAAAGACACTTATATTAACATCTTCGGACCAAATATGGTTTGGGCAAAAATCCGCCAACATTTTACGATCACAAATCACGGCCAGACGCGGCCGCTCTGCTCTTTATACCGAGTGTACCGAAGGCACCCCGAGAACAATCAATTGCATTAGCGAGGCGCGTATGTTATGTACATACATACGTAAGTGTTACGAGGAATTTTAATTTCATATTCTCCACAGAGAGGGACTCGAGGGTTCTTACTTTAAATACGTACGTCACGGCATATAATACGAGCGTGTACAGAGTGGCACAAATCGAAGTTTTACAGATCCTCGAACCCGACTTGATGGTAGGGGTATCATTTTAGACTCATACTCGTAATATTAACTGCAAACTGTGAGAGTAATTAGATAGTTCATTCATATCAAATAAAGTTTTAGTCACGTGATTAAGCTTAACCGGCATAGCGTTGCACACTTTTATATATTTTCTTTTAATCAAAATACTTTAGGAAAGAAAAATAAATCAATTACGAGTATAAATATATAAACAGTTATTATTTACATCAACAAAACTCACCTACTTAACAGTACTTAAGGGACATAAAGTCCTAATATTCTAATAAAGTTGCGATGAGTTTTTTACACACTTGACACACATGCCTTGGAAGAACAGCACGATGAAGTTTTCCAAAAGCTCATTTGTCCATATTTTCAACCAATATCGTTTAATTTAGGTAATCGATTGTATTCGACGTAGCTTGGCATTTGTGCTCTTAATAGTGCGTTTTAGGAGTCATAAAGCACAACACAACATATTTTTTTTACAAAATGATGAACTTTCAATAAATACTTAATGAAAAAATTGGCTTTTATATCTACTTCAAAAAGTTCATCTCATTGGAGCCACTCTGTACAAGATGAAGAATTCAACGTTATGATTAATGTTCAATGGCGTCTTTTTACTCGTTGCCTTAAACATACTGCTCGTGAAAAATATCGATACAGAATTATATGAATATTTTCACTGGGGAGCATACTTCTTGCTACTTCTTCCTTTTTATTTATTACCCTTTGCAAAGATTAATTTGTAGGAGAATAATTACATTTATATGTATATTATGCAAGGTGCTTCAAATTGTACGAGCTTCTTTAAGTTCAACCAACTTTGCAGTAATACAAACATTATAATACTTTAGATATATTGACTTTATGAATAAAAAAGATAATATATAACTTTAATTTCCATAAGGCTTTTTGTCATTTTGATGGTTTATGATAAACCTTACTTAAACAAATTACTTACACAATAAACTAAATAAAAAAAATAGACTTTAAGATTAGAAAAGTCTTATTAAGTGCATTTTTATTCTCCAAAATAAAAATTGTTCTAAAGCAGTTTAAAAATGTTTTATATGTTCGGAAATTATATATATTTTTACTGTTAACTACTTCAGGATATAAATATTTGTTTTTAATACTTTTCGTTGTTGGATATGCGAAATTTAGCACTGACCTTTTTTACTTTGATCATATTTAGCTTGAAAAGAAAAATACAGAGGAATCTTTATGATATAATCTATAAATCAGATTAATATTGTATACTTTACATATGGGGTTCAAACAGATGTACAATATTTGAACACACATAATACATTTTTTTTTAAATTCACTAGTGACGAATACAATAATTTAATTTATCATAATTGTTGGGGAAAAATCAATTAATTTTAAAGCAGTGTCATTGCAGTTTTAGGGAAATTAAATTGTTTGTATATTTCACAAAATACAAATTAAAATAAAATACAATGTGATCGAAAAAAAAATAGCGCAGATATGGCTATAAATAAAGATCGTTGCCACTTTATATGTAAAATTATATGGGAAATGTGTCATCGATCGTCATTTTCAAGCCAACTGGGGGCCGTTTCTTTTTCGATCATATGTATATTGAAAATAAGTCTACAAATAAAAGTATAAATGATATAAAATATGAAGTTTATTTAAGAATGGTTTTGAGCAATATAGCACAGAATAATATTATAAGAAAATTGATAATAAAAAAATATAAAAATCCTTTAATTTAATTTCTAATATTATTCTAGGATTTTATTTGCGCTTATTAGTTATATTTTGTTTTAGAAAATTATTTTTAATTATTTTGTGTGTAGGTAATATTTTTTTTTATTTTGTCAGTTATTGTAAAATATTTTTTTTGCAATTTATTAATACATTTTTTTTGTATGTAAAATTATTTGCAAAATTATTCGAATTAAAGTTTTAGATTTTGTTAGTTATGTTATTGTTAGTATTATTTTGTGTGTAGTATTTTTCATTTTGTCATTTATTATTTTTTTTGCATTTTATGAATATGTAATTTTTTAGCATGTAAAATTTTATTTTTTTGCATTTTATTAATATGTGAATATTATATTTATTACCTCTTACACATTTATAGTTATATAACTATAACTGTATAAGTAATAAATATATTTTCTAATAATTAATATTTTGCCACTTTAATATTTATTTTACATAAAAACAACTGGATATGTTAAAATAAAACTATTTTTAATTTTTGTAGAAAAATATAACTAATTATTTTTTGGGCCATAATTTTTAATTTTATCATTTATTACGATTTTTGCACGTAACATTATACGAATAATTTTTTACAAAATTGCTCAAACCAAAATTTTATATTTAAAGAAAGTAAAAACAAAAAAATTATTTTTTAGTTAAGTGAAATTAGAAAATTTGTTATATAAATATAACTTTAAAAATGAGCAGATAATGAATATATATTCTGCTTGTACCAATTACATATAATACTTTATTATTTAAGAAATATTAATAATTTCGTGTTAATAATTTTTCATTTTGTCATTTAGTATAAAAATATTATTTTGTATTTTATTATAATATAGTATGCGTTGTCATTCATGGTTACATAAAAAAAACTGTGGGGTATGTTAAAAGTGTATTTCTGGTGTGTATAAATAATATTTTGCGATAATTTCAAAGTCTACTACCAGAAAAATAAATTCAAAATTCAAAAATACAAATATCCCGTACGAAACATTCAAAAACTAAGATTTACCTGATTTATATAGAAAAATCACCCCGGGAGTCTCCAATCGACTCGGAAATTAGTTCAAGGTCGTACCGCCTCACAAACCAACTGCGTCCTCCACCAAATTTGCACCTTCTTCGCACTAAGTCACTAATTCCAACCGTCCGCTAGCCCTATACCGGCTTCCTCTCGAACACCGAACAAGAAGACTGACTCAAGCAGGCACCACCACCTATGGTACTACTACTACTAGTACTACTTGCAGGTACTGCAGTCGCGGCGGTGTTCGACGCGAGAATGCCGTGTGTTCCGTCGGAACCTCTTCTTTTCCGCAGGTTGCGAGTTGTTCGCGGAAGAAGAAGAAGTCGCACGGGATGCTGATGGTGGGGGCAGGTGGTACCGCGGTGCAGCTTCGGGTCGGTGGTACTGGCAGCGACAGGTGGAGGAGGGTGTGGACGGGCGGGTTGCGTAAGGCACCAAGGCAGTCAAGGGCGCCGGCGACGGCGGTACCCGGGCAAGGTTGTGGGCGTCCGTTGACACTGGGTAAGGAGACGAACTGGTGCAGCGGGGTAAAAGAACTCGCTAGGTACCACTTTTTTTTAACGAAAACGTAATCTTGCTTGAAGGAGACGTAACTGTAAGCGGATATAAGGGATATATAAGGGATTATATATAAATTATCCTTGTATAGGCTACCCCCCATGATGAACTCTTGAACGTCATTCGTTTTCTTCGTTAGTGGATCTCTGCAGAATATTTGACATTAGGACGCTATATTTATGGTGTTATTCGTAATAAAATAGACTGCTCAGATATTCTCAATAGGTTGAATATTTTTGTTCCGAGAGCAGCAGCTGGGCACTTTAACATATTTTATCGTCGTAAAATCTGTAAAATTCTTAGGGCTTGTTGTAGACAATTCTCTAAAATGGGACAAGCATATCGACGCTTTGTCGAAAAAATTGAGCTCTGCCTGTTTTGCATTAAGATCTGTTTCTAAGGAGCTTAACTTGTCAGTGGCTAGAACTGTTTATTGCGCACTTTTTGAGTCGCACCTCAGGTATGCCCTTCCATTCTGGGGTACGTGTTGTGCGACTCAATTTGACCGTATTTTCAAGCTCCAGAAGAGAGCTGTTCGATATTCACTGGGACTAAACAGCAGAACTCATTGCCAGGACTTTTTTAAAAAATTAAAAATATTAACTCTTTATTTCTCTTTATATTTGAATCCGTTTGCCTAATACGTAAGCATGTATCAGCTTCTCAAGAAAGGCCATCTCACACTTATCCACTCAGGAACGCGGAGCAAGATCTTTATCCCCTACCCCACGCTCAGAGTTAGTTAAAAGTTCAATATTATACAACTCGAAAAAAATGCACAATCACCTGCCATTTGAAATCAAATCCATAACATCATTTTCTTCATTTCGCAAAGCATTGAAATCTTATTTACTAGACAAAGCTTTCTACGCCGTAAATGACTTATATTTTGATAATCGAATTTGATCTTGTAAACATTGGTTTAATATTTGCTATTACTATATTTACTATAAACTTACTAAATATTTTTAAATCCTATTTTTATTTTTTTATTCTTTGACATTGTAAACACTTATAAATGTTTATTTTAAACAATAAGACTGACAATGTAATTTGTATGCTTGTTTTGTATTCTCTTTTGTTTGTTTACTTGTTTTGTTATTTTGTTACTTTGTTTATATTTTATGTACTTTACCTTTGTCTACAAATTTTTTGACAATAAAGGCATTTATTTATGTCGACGCTTGTATGACTAATATTAACAAAAATTCTCCAAGTCCAGCTTTTTACCTTTAATTAATACTGTCGGCTAACATAATTTTTTATAAATTTTTATTAATTTTTTATCAATTTTTTATCATTTTTTTTTGTCAATCTTGTTTTGTTGATCTGATCTATCAGTTTGTTTTTACTTTTGTATATGTTTTGATTTGTAACTTTTATCTCTGAATTTGTTCATTTGTAATTTGTAATTGATGCAGCACCACCCATTCAGTAATTGGCCTTTGCTGTTGAATGGTGTATATTAAATAAATAAATAAATAGTGCGTCGGACATCTGTAGCTCCTAGAATAAAAACCTTGGGAATTTTGTTTAAGTACAAACCTAAAGTTTGTACTAGGATGTATTTCAGGAAAATATTTTAACTTCTAGATGGGTCAAAAAAGTGTGAGTGGATCGGGATAATTTTTTTTAAATGGTACACCCTGTATTTTATTGAATTTTTGGTTTCCTTTCAGATCACTTTACATAATCCTAAGATATGAATAAATATATTTCGATAGTTTCAGAGATATAAATAAATAAAAAATAAATATTTTTCAGTCTTTCTTAAAAAAAATATTAAAAATACAAGAACTGTCCTTAAATCAAAACTACATTAGGTATTTACTTTAGATGGTCTGTACTTAACTTTGCTATAAATATACTTATCGTAAATCATGCAGCATGTTCAAAATTCTACGCCAAAATTTCTAAAATAAAAAATATCGAAAAATTTTTTTTTCGATGTTTTAAACGGAACAGCCTGTAGGTATATTATTTTTTCCGTAGCAACTGTTAAAATTGCCTCATATCCATGATACAAAGAAAACAAGGTATGATCGATAGCGGCTCCAATTTCGTTAAGTTTGCGCATACCACCTGTGATGTCATACGTCATACAAAAAATATCCATATTGTTCAATTGCCACTAATAAAAAAAAGACCTAAAATAGGGAAGAATTAGGACATAACCCCAAAAGTTATGTCAAATCATCTAGCTTGACATTTGAAAAATTATTTTCACATTTATTGTGTCATCTGTTTGACAATTTGAAATTGGCGCGTGGAGCTTGCCGACCAATGGTGCCGTTTATCACCTGTGACGTAGTGACCAACCTGCGCAATATCATACCTTGTATTCTTTGTATCATGCCTCATATCTATCAAAAATAGTACTTTAACCGCAAGGGTAGGTTGATACTTTACTTGTTATGATACTTTAACAGCGAGGATCGGTTAGAAACTTTATTTCTTCTCCCATGTTTTTAACTGCTTTCATTTTTGAAAATTTTTGTATTCCTTTTCATAAGTTATTCGGGATTTAAATGGAAGTAGTTTGGGTATGGCGTTTGTCGCCTCAGCCTCGATATCTGTTGGTAATTTACTTATTTCGTTTTGAGCCATTTCTGGCTCCAATTTAATCAGCAATCGACACGAAAGAGAATTAAAAAATATTGACTCAAAACTGACAACTAAAGATACAGCTTTATTTATTTGTCAAATTACATAGAAACCAACGCCAACACAGCACAATATTTTTTCTACTCGTAATAAATTCCTTGAAATAATAATTTTTTAATATTTTTTAAAACGTAACTCGCTATGGAAAAAATATTGTTTTATACACGACGATAAAATTGCATTATCGTCTCCCGAAATTAATTAATAATCTTTTAAATGGTATTTTATCATCTTGTATAAAAAATAAATATTTTCAAAAGATGGAGAATTAAAAAGTGAAAACTTTTTTTATATTTAGAGAATCTATAAGAATTTAATTTATCAATAAACTATAAATACAGACCTCTGTATTACAAAATATGTTTACGAGACGTTACAAAGACGTGTAGATGGATGAAAAGAGGAGCAGGCAAAGTTATATGTGAAAATAATGAACTCGATGCACCAAAGGTAAAGGAACTATTATAAAACGTAGCAGTACCCGCCTTGTAGCTGCTCGGCAGAAAAAAAAGCGCAGAGAGCAGTTGCCCTCGGGCCAGCGCTAGTCAATAAGATGAACGTAATCTGTCTATCATGGTACTGATACGAGAAGCGTGAAGCCGTAGGCCCATTGCTATGATATTGCTAGAGAGTATTATATTTATGTTCACCCTTTATAATTAAATAGTGGAGATGCTTTTCGATAGTAGAGCAGATGGAGATTTTGTCAGCGAAACGACTGCGGCGCGGCGAGATGACGAAACTTGTGTTAGTAAGTTGATAGAGCTTTTATAATTAAAGGTATTAGATAACATGAAGGTCTTATTAAACATGTACATTTACTATAAATAGAGACAACATAACGTACTTTGAGATATAGACAGAATATATTTTTGAAAACAGAAAAACATCTGAAAAAATCAGTTTGAAGCAAAAAGGTTTGTAAATGGTTCAAAAATGCACATACGCAATGTTAGTGGTACGGCTATGAATAGGGGTGTTAATTGGACTGGTCAGAATTAAAATGGATCAAGTCCAATTTCTTACTATTTTAAGATAATCGACTTTATACAGTTATAAAATATTGTTCTTTTTTCCAGTAGAGCAATGAATCAAGTCATAATTCACGCATTAAGCAGCTATAGCCTGTTTCTGTTTGGTTTCTGAATATTCTGTTGATTCAGAATGAATTAGATCAACTTTCAGAAGTGAATTGGATCAAGTCCATTTCCAAATTTAACGTTGTGCGCGATTTTAACACACGTGATAAAGTTTAGAGCTAGAAATTTTTTTTTTGATTAAATGGATGACAATGAAAAAAGTCTGAACGATTTGCACCAAGTGAATCATATTATCAACCATCTGTGAATGACCATCGACAACTACTTATGAAACTATGAACCCTTACCGGACACAAACGGTACATTGTGAGACAGGAAATTGTAGAGAGAAACAAGCCCTATACACATAGGGTACAACATTTTAATGAACAGTGCTTTCCATAAAATCAATAAAATGAAAAATATACGAAATAATATACACTGAAGGTCTGATTCTATCGATTCTGAAAGTATAGTTTGATTATCATTATTTTCACTATTTCTACATCAATAAGTTAGGGTGTGTTTCTTACAAATACTTAGATATCTGACCTGTTGTTGATCTGAAAAAACTGCACGAGGAAGAAATATCTTATCATTTCATATAGACGTAACATTTCATTTCATATAGACACAATAAAAGGCACAAAACACATGCAAGATCTTCTTATCTTTATACCGCCTATAATATATCAAAATTTTTATATCGATAATATATTATTTTATAATCGAAGGAAACACTATTAATAGACAATGGGAAGTCAACAAATCCCTAAATGACGAAGAAGAATGTACCGATGAACCAATTTATATCTAAAATTTCAAATATTTTCAGAGATAAAATGGTTCAAGTCCAAAAAAGTTTTGAGTTACTTTAGTTTGCAATTATACAATTTAAAATAGAATAAAGCAATGTGTCAAGTTTTCATTTCCAGCTTGTTTTATTTTAATTAAATAACATTAAA